AACCCAGGTCCTCCAAAAGAACCAACAGTGCTCTTAGCAGCTGAGCCGTCTCTCTAACCTCTATTAATACATTTTTAACTTTGTATGTAGTTTTTTAAATATGTCTAATTATGGTTATCTTGCCACATTTCTGGGTTTGGGAGTGTATTGGTTGCTTTCCTCATTTTTTACTGTGGTAATACCCAACAGAAGCACTTCAGTGAAGAAGGTGAGAGAGGTAAGGCATCCAGAGCCAGATGAGCAGTCTGCATCTGCAACCAGGAAAGACGGGATCAGTATGTGCTCAGCTGCTGTGCTCAGCTGCACTCAGCTTTTCCTTAAGTACTGGGCCCCAGCCTGGGGTATGGTGTGTGTGTGTGTGTGTGTGTGTGTGTGTGTGTGTGTGTGTCTCCTTAAGAATAGTAAGCTGACATTTGATCTTCTCAAGATCTTACTGTAGCTCATCAGCTGCTTTCCAAAGCAATTATAACAACTGTATTCGAATGCCTGTCAACTAGATAAGTGATGGTAATTTGCAAGGACAGTCATCTGTTTAGATTTGTTTGTTTGATTTTGAGACATAGCTTAGGCTGGCCTCAAACTCCTTTTGTAGGCTAAAGCTGACCTTGAACTTGTGATATGTCTGCCTCCCAAATGCTGGGATTACAAGGCATGTGCCGCCATGCCTGGCATCTTTTCCTGCCTGGTTTGCTTTTTAAAAACCCTAAGGAAATGTCTGTTATGTGACCATTCAGGAGTTAAGGCTGCTGGTTTTGTGGGTATCACTGCCAACCATGTATCTTGCTTTTCATTCATTATTAGACTGGTTAGATTTTAAATATAGAGATCTCCATGAGCAAAACTGGAATTTAAAAAGTGGAGGTAAAATGGTCCCCTCTCAGAGTTCATTAGGAAGGACTAATAGAGCAAATATGCACAAAGCTGCTAGCATGTGACAATAGCCAATTATGTGACCTGTTTCTGGCTTTGAACCATTCATGATACCTGTAGGCTGGGAATAACTATTTTGGAGGCTGGATCTTTGAAGATGAGAAGGGACCAGCATCCCTTCCGTTAGTAAAGACAAGGACTCCTATTAGTGTGGCTAAGAACAAGAGAGCACAGTCCAGCTGTGGAAATGGCAGAGTTGACTCTGACCAAGGCCTAATAGGAACGTGGGGGGACAGAAGGGAGTGAGGTCAGAGAAATGACCTAGGGAAAATCCTGAAGCCCCTTCGCCAGTGCTCGTAGGCTAAACCGAGGTCTCCTTCAGTCTCTATACCATAGTCCAGTTCTCTGTTAAGCACAGGCATCTAAGGGCCGCAGCAGTGAGAAGGAGACAGGGGCAGCCTCAAGTGAACTGGCATCTCTTTAAAGCTTGAATCCCTCCCTGAGAATACTCCCATTAATTAAACATGTGCCTTGTGAGATCCCTTCTTGCTTGTGCTCCCTGTTGGCTGTCTCATTCATTAATCTGCTGATTAGTAACCCTGAACACTTGCACCCCCTGTTTTTTGCATTCCCCTTTTAATACACTGTGCTGTTCCCCCGGGACATAAACTCCAGGACCCGTCCCTGGCCTGTTCATGTTTGTTTTCTTTGCCCCTTGTGCCTGCCTCTGCTATAACATTTGTAGTATGTGTTAAGTAATCCTTAAGGTAACATTTTTATTATGTCATAAAAAGTGCATGGCAAATATATTATAACTCATGGACTTTGTTTAAAAATGAACGGATAATTTATTGAGTGTGTTACATGAGCCTTGCTCCCTCCCCCATTTCAGCAGAGACCTGCTGCTCATTTAGCCTAGCCTCCTATTGAGTGCTCCCACCCTGTGACATGCTGCGAAAGCAGAGCCATGGTTGGCTAGAAGTGACATCATAGTTTATGTACTCAATAAAAATTTAATTAAGTCATTACAGGAATTGCAGTCATCATTTAACCCTCTGATTTCTTCTGTTTAGTTTATTATTAAACATTCAGTAATAGCAGTCATCGAATCCTGATGGCTTATAAAATATCTGCATGAATTTTAATAGCTTAAATAAATGGGAAAATATGAGTAACTGATATAAAGGGAGCCTTTCCCATGTGATGGCTCAGTATGTATGGGTTTTTATAAAAAGCAAAGCATTATGGACAGGATAAGATTTTAATGAGCAAACAGCCCAACACCATCTTCTGCTGGGGGATCTGAGTATTCATAAGCAACACGCTTCCTATAGATGATCCAGCACCGGGGAGATGGGGACCCAGCACACCAGCAGACAAATGCTTAAGTGAAGGAGTGGAGTAGAATGGGGGTTCAGCAGAGGGAAACTCCAGCATCAAGGGCCCAGTGAGGTTGGTGTCACTTCCTTCATCTGCTGCCTGCAGATCATGTGTTGCAGTGATCAAGCTTGCACTGTCTTCCAGAAAGGGACCTTTTCATGATCTAATCTAGCCTGGGTAGTGATATGAGAAAGCCATTCCTAGCTGTGGCAGCTTGCTTCTCTCTGTAGAAGTGACAGGGGCACACTGGAGTAGAACCTGGCTAACACTGAGCTCCAATCCTATACCTGGCTCTCCCCAGGCAACCAGCCATCTTCTCCAGGAGAAGGTGCATTTGTCCCTACTTGGGCCTCTCTGGAAAGCAGGAACCAAGCTTTGCAGAATAATATTTGGGGGATCTTTGGAAATACCCGTCAGATGGTGAAATGGACTCATTTGATCCCCTCTACTCATACTCTGATGGTAACTTGATATGTGACTTTGGATCTGTGTCTTTCCATGTTTGAGCCTCGCTTCACCGTTCATTTCCTTGGGGTCAGTGGGCCAGGTGATCCCTGAAGGCCTTTGCCACTTCAAAGCCAGTTGGCATGATGCAGTGTGTAAGCTAACTGCTGACCGAGCGGGCTTGGTAAATGTTTTCCTAGGAATGATGCCTTGCCTTGTGTTGGATGCCCTGACGTGCTTTTTGGCTCTGGTCATCTTGCACGTTTAGGGGAACAACCAGTACAGAAGTAAGGAAGAGCCCGATGTATTAAAAGGGCTGGCTGACCTCTTGTCCTTGAGCGACGGTAGGAACCCTTAACTCTTGCCTATTCTGACTCTCACCACAGCACATTAGATGAAGCAGTAGAAAGAAATACAGTAGTATATATTTCTGGAATTTCAGAAACATGGAAGGTATCTTTTCAGCAAAACCGAGACAAAATAATTGTGTCATTGGATAGAGCATGCTCTGAGTAGCCCTCGCTTTTGTTTGTTCGTTTGGGGTGCTGAACCCAGGGCCTCACATATGCTAGGAAAGTGCTCAGCTCTGAGTGTATCCAAAGCCCTGGGTGGTGACCTTGCAGGGATTCATTATCAGGATGCCCTTCTTAGTCCCTGTCCTGGCCCAGGTGTTTGGGTGCCAAAATGATTCAGTCCTGTTTCCTGTGAGCCAAGCTTGAGTTGCTCACAGACTGGTGGGAAAGGCAGGTATATAAGCAACTGCAACCATATTGTGTACCTAGGGGGAGAAATGCAGACAGAGCCCTGAGAGCACAAAGGAGCAGTGGCTACTGTGGCCTGGCTTGAAGCTGGGTAGGAAAGGCCATGGCTTACACGCCCAGCCACCACCAATCTCACACTTTCCAGCCTCGACCTTGACAGTTCTCTCTTCACTGTTGAACATTGTCCACAACTGTAAAGCTCTGGAACTGCTTTTAGTTTTAGTTTTGTATAAACAAACCAGGTCTTACTCACAGTTCCTTGTGTTTGTCGAGTTCACTGACGTTTACCAAGACTTCCAGGGTATGTTGTTAACTTAATGAATGAATGCAAACGAACTTCTGTGCTCTTGAAAACAGTTCTTGTGTGCAGGGCATTTAAAAGACAAAATAGCCTCAGAGAGGTTGGCTTGCTCAAGACCACACCCAAAATATATACCACAGCTAGGGCTTGAGTCTAAACCCAAACCCTTTTGCCTTTTCCGACCTCCAGAGACAGTTAGGAATCCCAGGATAGAAGTCACTCAGTCTTTGATTTATCATGTTACGATTTGAACGTAAACTGCCCCCCTACAGGCTCATGTGTCAAGGCACTTAGTTTCTAGGTGATGGACTTGTTAGAAAGGTGTGGAACCCTTAGGAAGTGGCAGCTACCTGGAGGAAGTATATTGCAGGGGACAGGCTTTGAGGAACATAGTGGGGCCTCACCTCTGGTCCAAGCTTTCTGCTTCCTGATTCACCAAGATGTGAACTGGCAGCCTCACTTCCCTGCCATTTGCCTACAGCCACATTTCCCATTGCTCAATGGACTGTGTTCTCTCAGAACTGAGAGCCAAAATGAAACCTTCCTCCTTGAGGTAACTTCATTCAGGTATTACACACACACACACATACACACACACACACACACACAGTAAGATAATCATTTAAATTGCATTTACGTGTGTGTGTGTGTGTGTGTGTGTGTGTGTGTGTGTGTGTGTGTGTGTGTCTGTATGTGGAGGTCAGAGAACAACTTGTAGGTGTCACTTCTCTCCTCCATCATGTGGGTCCTGGGGATTGAACTCCAGTTGTCAGACTTGATAGCAAGCACTTTTGCCTGCTAAACCATCTCAGTGTCCCTTTTGTTGTTTGTGAGACATGGTCTCATGTAGCCCAGGCTGTATGAGCTTTAACTTTACACACACACACACACACACACACACTAGGGATTGCAGGAGTGAGCTACCACACCTGTGAGTAATTGTTTGATGTCTGTTTTCCTATGCTAGGCTGTGTGGTCCTGTAATTAGACCATGTTTCTGAAACTTTGTGTTGATCAATACTAACACAAAACTGACATTCAGTTGAAGGTTCAGTCATTAAATGAATGTAGTTTTGAATCAAAATCTGAAAGAAGTGGCAGTTTTGTTGTGGAAAATCCTGACAGCCAAGGGGCTTGGAAATGGACTGGCAGTTTAAACTGAGTTCCTTTCTCTTTGTTTCAACAGCCTATGACAGCTAAGAGACATCATGCTTTTCCTTACCATCATACTTTTGTTTTTGTAGGTTAATTCCTATATCCTAAAGAAGAACATGGCCTACATGACAAACAGTTTCTATGCGTCAATCTTGGGATATGATGAGGTAAGATCATTTGCCAAGCCTTAGGCCACAGTGGCCTCCCCAACAAAGGCCCACCAGCCTTCCAACTCCTCTTCCTTCCTTTTTAAAGTTTTTTTTTTTTTTTTTTAATTTGTGTGCGTGTCTGCCACATGTGTGTGAAGGAGCATGTCAATGCCTGTGTGGGCCAGAAAAGGGCATCAATCCCCTGGAGTTGGAGTTAAAGGCTTTAAGTTGTGAACCACTCAACATGGGTACTGGGAACCAAAGTGGTATACAACCACACCCAGTCCCAGAAAAGGCTCAGAGTGTGTGTGTGTGCATGCATGTGTGTGTGTGTGGGGGGGGGCACCTGTGCCTGCAGAGGCCAGAAGAAAGTCCTGGATCTGAAGTTACAGGCAGTTTCAAGTCACTGGCTTGTGTGCTGGGTACCACACTTGTGACCTCTGTAAGAGCAGCAGGCGCTCATAACCGTCGAGCCATCTCTCCAGCCTTTGAGGAGAATATGTGAAGGCTTTGAGGACCATATTCTCTGTTTGCCATTTTTTAAATTAATTAATTTTTACAATTTTATATGCATTGGTGTTTTGCCATGGGTGTCAGGTCCCCTGGAACTGGAGTTACAGACAGTTGTGAGCTGCCATGTGGGTGCTGGGGATTGAACCCGGATCCTCTGGAAGAGCAACCAGTGCTCTTAACCACTGAGCCATCTCTCCAGTCCCTCTACTTGTCCTTTTTTCTTAGTATTTATTTCTTCACCTTCATCGAGTGCAAGGGAAAGAGAGCATTATATGTTTTTGTTAAACATTCAATGAATTAGCATTGAGAGCCTGCCTGCTCAGTGCTGGATGGGGGCACTAAGTCAAATCAGACTGCCACAGCCCTGGCTCTTGCCAGGGAATGCTTGATACTCATACATAAAACAACATGATATGTGGGACAAAATGTATACTGTGTTTAGTTTTCATTTTAAGACAGCACATATTCATTTATGTGTATGAACTTTTTGCCAACATGTATGATGACCCATGAGTGCCTGGTGCCTATAGAGGTCAGAAGGGGGCAATGGATCCTGTGGAACTGGACTTAGGTTGGTTGTGAGCCATCATGTGAAATCTGGGAATTGAATCCAGTTCCTTTGCCATTTGTTTAGAGAAACAAATGCTCTAAACTGCTAAGCCATCTCTCCAGCCCCTGACATGCTCTTTTTTTATTTTTGTATTTAACGTTTCTCTATGTAGTCCCGGGTGTTCTGGAACTCTCTCTGTAGACCACAGGCTGGCCTCAAACTCAGAGGTCTGCCTGCCTCTGCCTCCAGAGTGCTGGGATTAAAAGCATGTGCCGTCACTACACCTAGCTGCATATACTCATTTTAAAAATTCATAAAACTGTATGTACCTGCTTGAAATACAAATAAAGACCTAGTTCTTCTCCAGCCCCAAAGGAGAAGTCATCATAGTTCATCAAGTCTCCCTCCAGGTGTCACAAGTACATAGATAGCAGTTCCTCAGCTCTATGCAAATGAGTTACACCTGCAGGCTTGTCTGCAGTGCCTCATGCACAAAGCTATGCTTGCTGAGCAGCCACAGTCTCGAACTGAAAGTCTGCCCATTGAATGCCAGTTCTCCACTTCCTCCTCCTCCCAGACCCTGGCAACCACTGTTTTACTTTCTGTCTCTATGAGCAGACTCTTACAGTGTTTGCTCATCTGTTACTGGCTTATAGCGTGTCTCTAGGTTCATCCATGTTGTATCTGTGTCATTTCCCAGCCCTCCAACTTTATTATGGAAATTTCAAGCATGTAGAAAATTAAAAAGATGGTGTAATGAACACCTGTATACATACTCGAACCATTCATCATACCTCATTTTTCTCTTGATAAATGTGGTTAACTCCTGACTTTATGCAAGCACCACCTCCTGGGAAAGAGTCCCCAACTTTCCCAGGCTTAGCTCATTCCACCTGCCCAGGTGCTTACAGCACTTAACCAGCATTAAGTCTGTCACCTGGCTGGGTGTGGCTTTCTTTTGGGAAGTGACAGTGCCCAATTGTTTCTGATGTCTAACACAGTGCTGGACCTGCAGTGATGTGGGGAAGAAGTGTACAGAGTAACACTGGGGTGCAGCCCAGTTGGTAGGTCACTTACTTCATGAAGCCCTGGGTTTGATTCTCTGGACTGATGAAACGGCATGGTGGCACATGCCTGTAATCTCATCTGGCTTCTTATCTCGTCAATTTATTCACGTTAGGGATTGAACCCAGGGTTTTATCCTTTCTAGGCAAGCCTCTGCCAACTGAGCTATGTTTCTAGCTTTTTTATTCCCCTTTTGCATTGTTTGAGAATTTCATGCATGTATATCATGTGTTTTGATTAAATCCACCCCCATTCCCTCTCCTACAATTCCCCCCCCACCACTTTTTCCTTCAAACTTACCTGCCTCTCCCCTTTCTTTTCTCCCCCCCCCCCCCCACCCACTGGCAGTTTACCAGTTTACCTGTTGCTGTCTGTATGTGCATGGGAGCCTCTCATAGTCTGCACCCAGGAGACACGTTAAATGTGTTCCCTATGCCCCTTTGAAGGCTTTGATCCAGTAGGAGCCACTCGGTGCTTCAGCAAGCACCCAGGTGACATGAACAGGAAAGCCTGGAAAATACACTGATTACCTGGGATACTTTCTAGAAATTTCAGTGTCAGGAACCTATCACCCAAAGGTACTGACTTAACTGTTGTGAGTAGATAGCTGCAAAAGATCTCAAGGGGCTGGAAAGACGGCTCAGCAGTTAAGAGTACTGACTGCCCTTCCAGAGGACCCAGGTTCAATTCCCAGCACCCACATAGCAGCTCACAACTGTCTGTAATTCCAGTTCCAGGGGAAACGACACCTTCACACAGACAAAACATCAATGCACATGAAACAAAATCAAATAAAAAATAACAAAAAAAGTTCCCAGGTGGTTTAGATGTGTAAGTCCAAAACAGCTTTGCTTCCTTCCTTCCTTCCTTCCTAACTTCCTTCCTTCCTTCCTTCCTTCCTTCCTTCCTTCCTTCCTTCCTTCCTTCCTTCCTTCCTTCCTTCCTTTCTGTTTGTTTTTTGAGACAAGGTTTCTCAGTGTATCCCTGGATGTTCTGAAACTCACTCTGGAGACCAGGTTGGCCTAGAACTCAGAGATCCTCCTGTCTCTGCCTCTCAAGTGCTGGGATTAAAGGCGTGCGCCACCACCGCCTGGCTGATCTCCCTAGGTCACTTCTTCGAAACTTCTTTCCTGACCTCACTAGATCGCTTGTGTTTTTACTCTGCATTTCAGTATCCATTTAACAATGGTTTTTAGCATGTTTATCATGTGTGATAGATGAGGATTGTGTTGGTGACTCAAACTGACATAGTTTCAGTCTCTCTCCCATTGAAGTTACTGAGACAGGTGGCACACAAGTAGCTACTAAATAAGCAGAAAAATGCTTAGAGGGCACCGGTAGAGAATAACAGTGGAAGATACAGTGTGGACCAGGAGGAGCTCTCCAAGGACCGCTTCTAAAGTAAAGGCTGAAGAATGAGGAGGCAGAGGCACCAGTGGATTGTGGTCTCACCAAGGGCCTTAGCATTTGTTCACTGTCCAAGACTTTGCTATGTTGCCTCATGCGTCCTGGATTGCAAGCCCCCTGAGAGCTGAGCTCAGCCGATGTGACTCTGTGTTCATCTTAGAATGGTGCGAAGCGCAGGTGGTAGCTGCCACTCCGGGACAGTGCCACAGCTTCCTGTCTACCACACTAGACCTGGACACAGCTTCCTGTCTACCACACTAGACCTGGACACAGCTTCCTGTCTACCACACTAGACCTGGACACAGCTTCCTGTCTACCGCACTAGACCTGGACGCGCTAATTTCCTAAAGAACGCCTTCTTTTATGCCATGAGGCAAACGATTCCTAGATTATGAGGAATTGGCCCTGCACCCTAATGCTTGGTACCTTTCTCCTCTTCTGTTTCTTGACGTTCACATTTGCATACTTGAATAGTCTCCCATTTGTGTTCACTGAGCTACTAGCAGTCTGATGGAAAGAAGACTGCGGCTGGGTTTGGCGTTGGAGTCTGCCATTTTCAGCACACTGGTACTGTATGCCAGGGCTGTGTGACGCTAGGCAGCTACCATCCCCTGACCTCAGCAGTACAGGCAGGTTCCTCTCAACACCAATTACCTCGCTAACCTCTGAGCCTCGGTACTTATCTTTCATGTGGGGGTAATAACACCTGTGCTGAGTGGTGTGGTGCAGGTAGTCATTAGACACTAGCTGGCAAAGAGACCTGGTAATCTGGAACAGGTTCTTAGCAGGGCTAACACCTCCGAGTCCCCCTTTGCCCTCTAACTTCTCAGGACCCCTGTGAGTGGATTCGCCCTGTCTCAGCCGTCTCCCCAGCTCCAGGGATCCCTGACTGCACAGGTCATGACTCCCCGGCTTCTCTCTTTGTGGGCTCTATTCTTTCTCCAAGCTCCTGTGCCACTCCCACCCACTCCTTCCCATATCACATAAGTAGGTTCCTGCCAACAGCGGCCCGCCTGTGCCCAGGGCACTTCACACACAGGCGGGCTGTTGTGTTAGCAAATAGCTTGCGGGAGGATGATGTGCCTGAGCTTGTCCTTGGTTGTTGTTGCCATCTGCTAGAAGAAGCGGATTTCCCAGCTCAGCCATCGCACACCAGGACAGTCTTCCGCTGTGAAACTGTGGGGGTTATTTAGCAGAAGGCATCTCGAGCAGGTGAAGTGCTTTTCCACCTATCTGTTACCCCCCCATGGGTAGGTTGAACCTTTTTGATAGCTGACCTGTAGTCAGCCCTCTTATATGCCACAGACCACTGTATAACATGGACTAAATGTCCCTGTGTCTTTGTAACCCTTACTAGGTAACGAGCCTTTTGTGGACATCGTCTCTGTGGGGTAGGAATTAATCAGGCTCTGCTAATGAATGAGAAACTGAGGCTCCAGAGGGGCTAAGTCTTCTCGAAGGCCACACTACCATAAAGTGACGGAGCTGGCACTGAACTTAGGTGGTTTGACTCCCATATCCCACTGTTGCCTCGACTATACTAACTCCCAGTGAAAGCAATGCTTTTGTATATTGCATCCAACATATTTCACTTTTCAAAATGGCTTTGCAGACTGGCACAATGGCACATGCCTGTAATTCTAGTGCTTGGGAAGTATAGGCAGAGGGTCGGGAGTTCAAGGGCTCCCTTGGCTACATAGAGAGTTTGAGGACAGTTTTGGGTACATGAGACTCTGTCATAAAAATAAAAAAGCTGTTCTGGAGAGAGCTCGTTCAGTTAAGGCAGTTACCACAAAGCCTTATGGGCCAGGCTGGATCCCAGGGATCCACATGGTAAAAGCAGAGAACCAAACATTGCAAGTTGTCCTCTGACCTTCACATGCACTCTGGCATGTGTACACCCATACCCACATCCATGCAAAATCAATACATGTAATTCTCTTTAAAAGACTTTACTTTTTGTGTGGTGGTGCTAGGAATTGATTCCAGGGCTTTGAAGATACTAACCAAGCACTCCACCGCTGAGCCACACCCCCAGGCCACATTACCTCATCTTTGTAATTCAAGGATGCTGTAGGTAGAGCAAGTATTTTCTTTTACCTCTGCCGCTGAAGCCCTGGGGTGAGAGGCATTCACCACCCCACCCATTTTAGAGCCCTGAGACTTGGGTTTAGCCATAACCATTGTGCCAGTCGTCTGAGTTCAAGGCAACACTTCAGTTCCATGTCCTACTTTGGCACCAAGGCAGATGCACTTCTTAGGGCCTTTCCCTTCATTTGCCTTCATCCTCCCTGCCCTAGAGGTCTGGGCTAGAAAATGGCTGTAATTGGCCTCTATAATATCCGGGCTTCCAAACAAGAGTTCCCAGTGCCAGGAGAGGCAATATCAGACACACAGACAGGCTCTGAGCATGGCCCTAGGCAGCCCCGTGTGGCCCATGGAAAACCTACTAAACAGCCTGTCCCTTGCTTCAGAGTCCAAGCCAGTCATGGCCAGACGGGTGACAGTGAAGGCAGGGTACTCAGTTCCCTTTCCCAAAGAGCCAGCTACCTTGCAGATGTGTGACCTTGGACCAGACAAGTATGAGCAGTTCACACCCACCCCCATGCCCAGGCAAACACAGATTTGTGAACAGCAGCAGAAGTATGGCTACTACACTCCTTTGCTGGGTGGGCCTTGCAGACATTCATTGCCTCGGCCAGGCACAATGGGTAGAGGAGAATGGACTATACCTGGGAGGGTGCAACAGGCATGAGTGCCAGCTTTGCATTACCTCAGCCAGTGCCAGGACTCTCAGAGTCCCATGGCCTTCTGTATAAAAGAAGGGTTGAGGGGATGGAGAAATGGCTTGGTGATTAGGAGCACTGGGTGCTCTTCCAGAGAACCTGGGTTTAATTTCTAGCACCCACATGATGGCTCACAATCATTTGTAACTCCAGTTCCAGAAGATCTGATGCCCTTTTCAGACCTCCACAGGAAACAGGCACTCAAGTGGTACTCATGCAGGCCAAACCCTCATATACATAAAATAAAAATAAAATTTACTTTTAAACAAATAAGAAGCACTGGAGGCAGAGGCAGCTTTGTGAGGCCAGCCTGGTCCGAGTTTCAGGCCAGCCAGGGCTACACAGTGAAACCCTGTCACCACACCCACCCACCCCTTAAAAAAAAAAAAAAAAGTCAGATGTTCTTAAGCTCGCCCATTACCCTCTCTCTCCATCTGAATCCATTCTTTGATCTCCTGTTCAAATATCCCAGTGTTAATATCATGGCTCTGCAAGACACGTCTTGTTGTGTGTTCTAGGGGATCCTTTCTGATGATCGTGGACTGGCTGCTGCCCTCTGGAGAACCTTCTTCAACCAGAAATGTGAAGACCCTCGGCAGCTTGAATTGCTGGTGGAGTATGTGAGGAAACAGGTTAGCACCCGCTCCCTGCTCACACCTGGTGGCAGTTGAGTCCTCCTGAGTGCATGGTGCTAGTGCAAGCATCTTGGTAGGTCATAAGAGGCTGACTGACCAGGAGCTAGTTTAAGGGATTCTGACCCAGCCACATCAACAACACACCCATGATGAAGGCTGAGCATCCTCCCTCCCTCCCTCCCTCCCTCCCTCCCTTCCTTCTTTCTCCCTTCTCCCATCCTTCTTCCTTCTTCCTCTTTCCATCCCTCCTCTCCCTCTCTCTCTGTCTCCCCCCCCTTCTCTCAGTTTCATTGTAGCCCAGACTGACCTTGGATTTCTGATCTTCCTGCCTTCATCTGTGAGCCACCAGACCTAGTTTAAGAATGAGCATCTTTGGCCAGGCATAGTGGTGCATGCCTTTAATCCCAGGGCTTGGGAAGCAGAGGCAAAAGCAAACAGGTTTCTGTGAGTTCAAGGCCAACCTGGTCTACAGAGAGAGTTCTAGGATAGCCAGGGCTACACAGAGAAACCCTGTCTCAAACAAAACAATAATGAAGAATGAGCACGTTTCGTGTCCAGCTGTGAACGAGGCTGAGGATGCCAGGGGTGGGGAATGAGAGGAAAGAGAGAGCCTTGTGCTTTCAGAAAGCCGTGGTATTCATTTGCTGTTTCACTACCTGCTGGTGCTGGGTGCTGTGCTAATTACTACACCCTCAGTTCTGGAAGATTTGGAATGAGACATAGTGACACCCACTGTGCCCATTTTGTGCCCATTTTGTGGCTATTGATTCCTGTGCTCCTTACTGCTAGCAGAGCCAGGCTTCAGGCAGCCCCTGACAGACACGTCAAATTCTCCCCACTGGCTGCTCTTTGCTGTCAAGCAGGGTTGGAATATCAGGTCCTTGCCCCTCTGGCTCTGAAGGCTCCTGACCCTAAAGCTTCCAGGATGAGCTCCTTGGGAGGACTGTTTGAGCACCAGGCAGAATTAACTCCTGATCTCCTGCCCTAGATCCTGCGTGGACAGGAAATTCATTCCGTCTGCATGAATGGATTCACTCATCCTGAGGCAGGACATGGAGGCTTTTCTGGGGTCTCCCAGTGGTTCACCCTGCACGACTGGCCTCAAAACCCAGGCTGGGTGAATCATTTAACCACTGGAGACCACAGCAGCTGCAGACAGCTCACCAGCATGAGCTGTTGTGAGTCACACCTTTGCTTCATGGACTTGGCCCCTGGGGCTGAAGGGGCATCGTGCCATGAGTTCACCTCCATGGCCTTGCTAGCGTCCAACAAGCAGGAAAGGGAAGGCCAGATCACAGCTCTGGAGCAGACAGGGCTAATAGGACCAGCTAGTTGCCTGATGTAAAGCTGGCATGTTGAGGCTGATGGTAGCTGGAGCGTAGGGAACCCCAGAAGCCGATTGCCATTTGACTGCTCTTCGGATCTGCCAGAGCCAGGGAGAAGGCACTGTGGCTAGAGAGCCTCACCCTTAGACAGGAGTCAAAATTGGCAAAGTAAACACTTTTTTTAGAGACCCACCCAATTTTTCCATCTGTCCTGGTGGGCTTGTGCCAGAGGCCATGACAAGGCATAGCCAGGACCTCTCCAGGGGCTCAGAAAGAAGGGTTTGCCTTAACAAATGCCCCTGTGAGAAGTCTCATTTGACCCCACTAGAAATGGGCAATGGTGGAGCCCTAAGAGAGTAAGAAGCTTTGATGGGGACCCAGTTCTGCCATGCCTTAGAGCACCTGCAGTGCCAGCCCTGGGCTGATCTTCGAGACTCAGTCCTGCCCTGGAGCCATGCAGGCCCACAAGCAGCCCTGGGGTGAACTGGCCAGTCTAGTGTGTGTGGTCCAGGGTCAGGAGGGTGCTGGGGAAGCCAGAGAAAGGCATGCTCTGACCCAGTGTGTCAGGGCAGCCCAGGAAGCCGGGCCTTGAGCAGTCTCTGGTACTACACATTGTATTGGTTACTATTTGGTAATCAATCTGCAGTTAAAATCAACAACCCAGGAGGTAGGCAAAATGGTGGCATTCGGGGTAGGAGTGGGGAAGCTAGAAAGAGGCGTGGACTGTGGTTCATTTGAACTGTGGACCCAGGAAAGCTGAGCCTCTCGGGTCAGAGGCTGGGCCTGAGCTCAAGAGGCAGTCTGAAAATGAAACAGGAGCAGTGAGCTCTTGGAAGAGGAGACAATCCAAGGCCTAAGGTGAAGCCCCAGTCTTCCTTCTCCCCATAAGGAGCCTGCCCAGTCGGGTGGGGCAAACTAGGGCCTCTGGGCAGTGTCAGGACCCACTGAAGGATAGTGGAGTCAAACACGTTAGAAAAGCAGTTGGTGTGCCAGGGTTTGGCATGCACTGTGCTGTTTACTCTCCCCTGTGCCCGGTAAGATACACATTTCCGGCTGCTCTCAGACAAGGGGACCATCGAAGGCAAGATGTAGACAGGATGACTTCTGGAAATCATCTGTTCTAACTTCTTGGCCTGTAAGAACTTTGTTATGAGTGTGTGGCGGAGGGTAAATGTCCCTCCTAGGGATTGAATGGGTGGAGTGGGGATATGTGATAGGGAATTCCCTACAACATCGTCAGTGCAATTTCCTAGGTCACTGGTTCTCAACCTTCCGAATGCACTGAGCGTTGGTGGTGCACGCCTTTAGTCCCGGCACTCAGGAGGCAGAGGCAGGCAGACCTCTGTGAGTTTGAGACCAGCCTGGTCTACAGGAGCAAGTTCCAGGACAGCCTCCAAAGCTACAGAGAAGCCCTGTCTCGAAAAACAAAAACAAAAAAACAACAACAAAAAAAAACAAAAAAAACCTTCCTAACACTCTAATGCTGCCACCCTTTAGTACAGTTCCTCGTGTTGTGGAGATCCCCATAAAATTATTTCATTGCTACTTCATAACTCTAATTCTCCTACTGTTAAGAATTGTAATGTAAAATATCTGATATGCAGGATATTTGATATACGACCCCTGTGAAAGGGCTGTTCACCCCACAGGTTAAGAACCACTGACCTAGGTAATTATTTCTCCAAATACCCTTAATGCCATAATCTTAGAGCTGGACAGTCAGGTTACCACCACCACCCGTGTTCCCTTCCAGCCACTCCTTGGGGAAGCTTTGCAGCCCTCACATACAGCTCTGTCCCCCTGCTCTCTCTACTTGTAGATGCAATACCTGGACTCCATGAATGGTGAGGATCTGCTTCTGACAGGAGAAGTGAGATGGCGCCCTCTGGTGGAAAAGAATCCACAGAGCATCTTGAAGCCTCGTACTCCTACTTACAATGATGAGGGTCTTTGAGAGACTGGCCCGACTGACTGCTCAGTTGGCTGGCTGGCTGGCTATGAGGAACCCCCATGGAAGAAGTGCCTGTTTATCTAGGACTCTGAAGAAGGTGGCCTGAACTGACTTTTGAACAGCACCTGTTGAATACTCGGGTCCTTTGTGTTGAGTTTCTTCTTGTGATCCCAGGAGTCTGATCCAGTGGGGGTACTACCGGGAGGTCATCTCGCTCTCCCGACATGTTCCCTCCCTCAAGAGAAGCCCCAAGCACACTTTCCAAGTCCCTCCAGCAGCACATGTGACTGAGAGCTTTTCCCAAAGGCTGAGGAAGGGATGGGTAGGTTAGAAAGGGGCCCCTCACCCAGGGCCCCCTGTGCCTAGGAGAAGTTTCTAATGTGTCAAGATGGATAACCATATACTGTCCCCCAGCTATGAGCCATGGGGTTGAAGTAGCCATTAAAAAAAAGATGTATTTCTGCCATGGTTCTTCTTTGTTCCAGGGTCTTTTAGAAACCTAGGTAAAGCCGGTCCTTGTGGCACGTCTTTAATCCCAGCGCTTGGGAGACAGAGGCAAGGGGATCTCTGAGTTCGAGGCCAGCCTGGTCTACAGAGCAAGTGCCAGGACAGCCAAGGCTATACAGAGAAACCTTCCTGTCTCAAAAAAACAAACAAACTAAAAAAGAACAGAAACATAGGTGAGACGGTGGACGATCCAGGCTCAAGAATTAACTCCAGCTCAGTTAGAGGCAGAGAGAGGTCAGAGGCTCCCTGCTACTTGCTGCTCCTGTCTCCAGTTCACAGAGGAGCCACTGTCTGGGCAAATCGCAGTCCACCAGGCACATTCTCTGGGACCCAGGAGGTCTCTGAGGACCAAGGGGCTTGTCACATCCTAAGTCATGTAGAAAGAGGTCTGGAGAATAGAAGTCCCTTTGTCACCCACAGTGACATCCTTTACATGAGAAAGTCTTCCTGGCCTGTGAGTACCATTCCAGCCCCAGCCCAATTTCTACCCTGTCCTCAGCTTCTGAAGCATAAGCTGTAAGGGACACCTGGTCTGAGCTCTTAAGGGGCCTGTTCTTCCTCTCAGAGAGTTTGGGTCATCTCTTGGAAGGTTTTTCTGAAATTGAGGAAAGGGGGTGGGAACAGTCTTGCCCTCCCTCCCCCATCCAGCTTTCTTCATTGAACTTGTTATAAAATGAGTCATATAAAGAAACTCTATACCGTGAGGTAGACGCCACTTCTGTGAAAACATTACAAATCAAGCCGCCTTCTCTTGCTTTATTTGCGATGCTTTGGTTGCAAGCGGGGCTCTGGAGTGAAGCGTCCTCTGTGAGTGCGAGATAATAACACCTTGTAACTCATTACATCTGGGCACTATTTACATAAACCAGAAGCGAGCCAGGCAGGAATTTGCTGATTAATTTATTTTTAATGGAGTGAAGTATGCCATGCACCAAAATAAACTTTACTGTGTGTACCTAACTGCTCCTGGAATGGATGGAAAAATTAATGGAACAGATTTTGGCTCCTAACCCTGCACATTAATTCATATATAAAAGTCATTTGAGTGTTAACCCATTTGCTGCCCAGGGCAGCTCCCCAGCCACAGATCCCAGCCCACAGCACCAGTTTAGCTACTGGGCTTGCTTTAGTGTCAGGAACTTTGCTAGCAACTTTAAAGGTCATTAGGGCCCATCCTGGTACCCTTGCCCACCTCCCTTAGATCCTGTGTTCATGCAAACCCTAGCTGAATCCAGTAGCAGAAAATGGTGCTTGCTTGTGGAGATTGTATCCATAGCATTCAGTGTTAAGATACAGTGACTCAACATGGAGTTGTATTGTGGTTCCCGGGGTCCTTATTTGTGGCCATATGCACCAGTTGCCACACCACACCCTCTCATCTTCAAGATAACACTCAGGTACTTTATAGGCCACAGGCTCTTCAGTTTGCTGCCACCTCCATTCCAGCCTGATTTAACAGGTCTCTCATCCATTCTTCCCTGAGCACACTGAGTCACTTGAAGTTATCTGAAGGGACCACACTGTGTTTTATCTACCTGGACCTCATTCTTCCTGGTGCTGACTAAAGAGATCTTAACCTTCCCGATTGTCACTTCCCCTTCTCTCTCCCACAGACCCCTGCAGGGTTTCCAGGGTGCACCTTATAACGTCCTGTGCTCACTTAGCACACCTCTAAAAACAGATGTGACTTTTTGTTCACACCCTCCTCCCATACTGCAATGTTGGCTGCAGCCACACGAGATGGCTGCTGTGTTGGGAGGTCACTTGCTGTGCACTGTCTTGCAACATCTGTGTGCACCTAGTAAATAAGTGAGAGCGAACATACAGCCCAACAAAAAGCCTTTATTGAACCATCCTCGGTTCATCTTGTTTTAGCAGTGATGCTAAAATATCAAGCAGCTCCAAACCCAAAAGCTCCATATAAACACTTTTCTAATTAAATTTTTTAAAAAAAGACAAAACAAGTAACATTGTTTCTGGTTCCCAGAAGACTGCTCTTTGGGGATTATTTTGTCACTTTTGATGTACTTCCAGGAGGAGAGTAGAACAAATTAAGAGACAGTTACAAAGAGCTGAGTATGGCTGAGGCATGATTGATTGCCTTGAGGCCAGCCTAATCTACAGAATGAGACCCTATCAATAAAAAGGCCATCAAGACAGTGCAGGGGGTAGAGGTGGCTTGTTGCTGACCCCAGTGTTTGTATGAGACCCTTGTGTTTTGTGCCATCTGTAGTGGTAGGAGGGCTCAGTGGGACAAAACCTGACTTAGATTGCCGGGACTCCACATGATAGGGAGTTCCACATGGTAGAACTCAGTCCTGCAAGTTGTCTTCTGACTTCTATGCTCCATGGCATAGGTGAACACACGCGAGTGTAAAATTAAGTAAATAAAAAGAAACTGACGCAAAGCAAAATTTGAAATATAAAATGCAAGTGGAAGGAAAGCGGGAAAATAATTATACAAGGAATATCCTACTCAGAATAAAATAAAATAAAAAATTCATGACTTTCACGGACTGGAGAGATAGCCCCGGTGGTTAAGATCACTGTCTTCCCTTCCAGAGGACCTGGGTTCAAGTCCCAGCAGCCACATGGCAGCTCACAACTATCTTTAACTCCAAGGGATCTGACACCCTCATACTGACGTAAAAACTAAAATAAATAAAATAGAACTCCTACCCAGAGGCCCTCAGACAATACAGGCTATTGCTATTGCTCTTGGTCGTCCATTAGAACTAGAGGGAAAACCCTATTGCCAAAGAGACACCACATAGTTCAGTTGCAGGACAAAGAGAAATAAAATTAGAGCTGAGCTGGAAGTGTCCCCCTACTGGCTAGCATTCAGAGTATGGAAGATGCCAGCAGACCTGTGGGGGAGAGAAGTCAATGTTCTTACCCAGATGTGAACCCTGTAAACTGCCATGTTGGCGAGATGCGCCCATTTGTGCAATAGTGGCGTGACTGTTAGAAGGGTAATCAACTGCTTCCTGATTGGATTTGAGACCCACTCCCTAAGACTGAATTCATGTCTGGTTCTATAAACCTGGTGGTCAGAAGCCCATGTCTGAGGAGGTCATAGGCCTTATGGTGAAACCTTGTGTGGATTTGCTAAGTGGACATGCTGTCAAACCGTCCTCTGAATACTTAGCTTACACCCACAGATGAGCACTGCTTTCAGCCTTGGTCAGAGGAGCAACTACTTACAGTGGGAAGCGGTTGATGCAAAGGCTCCTAACTGTCATGCAGGGTAAGTTGCTGTTGAGTATTCAGTCTTAGACGGAATATCTAAGAAAGATGGCTCAGTGGTTAAGAGCACTGGCTGCTCTTCCGGAAGACTTGGTTGGATTCCCAGCACTCTTGTGGCAGCTCACAACCATCAGTAATCCAGTTACAGAGGATCCAATGCCTCCCTGGTCTTTGCAGATACCAGACATGTGTGTAATATACAGACGGCCGTGTCGGCAGAAAAAAATCCATGCACGTAAAATTTAAAAATTTAATGGGACATCGGTTTCAAGGCTCAGGGAATATCGCGGAAGAGGGGCCAGAAGAGCTGGAGGATGGGAGGACTGCTGTCTTCTAGACATGGCCTAGCCATTGCACTCTGGACTCAGCATCTGCGGTTACCTGAACAAGCGGGGGCCCAGAAACTCCCCATCGTGGATGGAGGAGGAGCTTTTCAGGCCCAGCCCCTTCCTGAGAAGTTATGGTTTGGGGGGAGGAAACATTTCTTTAGCAGTGTAGCTGCTGGTAAGTTGTCCATGCCCCACTAAATAACTCCACACCCAGGCTCATGCAGGCAAACCTAACTCAACTCACTGGGTCGCAAAGAAACAAAAGTCATGAAAATAGGGGGCAGGGGATACTTGTCAGAAAGAAGGTTTGGTGCAAGTAGGAGGGGGTGAGAGAGAGTAATGCTTGAGAACGACCAAAATACACTACAAACATGAAATCATGTTTGGAATATTTGGGAGGTTGAGGCAGGAGGATAACAAGCTGGGGCAGGCAGTCTTCGTGGTATCACAAGACCCTGCCACTCCCATGCCTGGACTGCTCATCACCAACTCTCACGTGGTCTGTTTGTTTTGTTTTTTTATTTATGAAAGTAAGTGCACTCTCACCAGGCCCATATGACAGACATCATCCTCAGTATTTTTACTGACCACAATGAAGAGGCTTAAGGCTCAGGTGGCCTAGAGAGTTACCCAAGATGGCTCCACCTCAGACCATGGGGCTGCAGCACCTAACCCTCTCCCTAGACCACACTGCCTCCCTCAGGTCAGCATGGAGATCTGCAATTGAGTATAAAACTTAGCCAAAGTGAGGAAAGAGACTGCCTCAAGCTGTCACCCCTCTGTCACAGGAAAACGTCTCTTGTGAGTGCATCAGAAGACAGCATTTTCCCTAGAGGTTTTCGAATGAGAAACATTGAGCAATGATGTGGACGATAAAATTTTTAAATAACTGATATTTGATTCTGCCCTGTGACAGACACATCTGTCACCTCTTTTCACCTATTATTTCATTTAAATCTCATCCGAAGCCCTGAGAGGTGTCAGCTCGTGCTACAGCTGAGGGAAATGGAAGCTTGAAAAGGCCCAGGTTTATCCCGAGGACAGGCTCATGTGACTGACACTCCAGCCATCTGCTTTAGTTCTGGAGAGTTGTAGATGAAGCTGCATCTGTGCTATAGCTAACCGAAGAGCCAGGTGTGGCGGTGCACATCTTTAGGTCCCAGCACTCAAAAGGCAGACAGGCAGATGCATCTGTGAAGTTTGAGGCTAGCCTGGTCTACATAGAGAATTCCAGGTCAGCCAGAGCTATATAGAGAAACCCTGGCTCAAACAAAAAACACACACAGACACACAGAAGGGGCCAGACAGTTAAGAGCACTGACTGCTCTTTCAGAGGACCCAAGGTTAGCTCCCAGCATCTACATTGGGCAGCTAAATCCTGCTCCGAGGAACTTGGTGCCATCTTCTGACCTATGAGAACACTTGTACACACGTGGTGCGCATACACACACACACACACACACACACACACACACACACACACACACACACACACCTACATATTTAAAAGTTAAAGCATTACCCGGGCAGTAGTGGTGCATACCTTTAATTCCAGCACTGAGTTTGAGCTCAGCCTGGTCTACAGAGTGAGTTCCAGGACAGCCAAAGCTACATAATAATACCCTGTCTCAAAAAAACAACACAAAAAAGTGTATGAGGATGCTGAGTCCATCTTGGGTATGGAGAGGACATGTAATGAAAGTGAATGAGTTCCCACAGGTAAAGTAGGGTGAGGACCAGGGCAGGGTGGTAGCAGCCCTCAGAAGAGGTGTTAGGAAGAGCAAGAATGGGCACTGGAGGCAGGGTCTGGAGAGAAGCTGAGGAGGGGGAGAGCTTCTGGAAGGACTCCCCACGTGGCCTGCTGCAACATGGGACCTGAGAGTAAGCTGGGAGGTTTAGGGGTTTCAGATGTTCTAGGAACATGGCTGACTGCTGAGAGAATGCAGATTGCAAGAGGTAACAGCAGTGCATACGAACATGGTTTGGAGTCTTTGGAGAGGTGGGAATAGTAAGGATTTCCCTGGAATGTTAGGGACTTGCTGTCATTAATCCCTCTCAAAAATTGAAGTCCGGCTTCGAAAACAAGACCTGGCCCTGTAGAGGTGGGAAGAATCCTTTCTTTAAAAAAATGTTTTTTGTTTGTTTTTATGTGTATGAGTTCAAGGTGAGTTCTGGCAGATGCTGGGTGCTGGGCTCACCAACAGTGGTTCAGTAAAGTCCCCTAGGACAGGTGTGATAGAGAGAATCATGGCCGGGGCCTTTGCCTGTATGTATGTCTGTGTACCACATGTGTGCCTAGTCCTGGAAGAAGCCAGAAGAAGGTGTTTGATCTCCTGGAACTGGAGTTACAGACGGTCGTGAGCCATCACGAAGGTACTACAAGGA